CGTTTAAGGCACAAGTTAGAAGTATCAGATAAGTTTGAGTGCTGTGAAGGTTTTAGGGGTTGTTTCATTTCATTCTCACCCTTACCGTGCTCTCATTCCCCCCCACACACACCTGCAGAGTTCTCTGCTCCTCTCTGCTTTGATATCCCCGGTTTGTGTACTTTTCCTGTTTCTTGTTTATCACCGCTGTGCCCCGACGGCTCTTTGAACAGCAGGGTGACACTTGCCAACGAACTCTGTTGTGCCGCTGTTTCATATTAAATCTGATTTTTGCAGATCCCAGTGCTGCTGATTTTTAAGCCATTTAAAACACTCGTTTTTAGCAGCCGATTTTCTGGTTCGGGGTAATTTCCTTGTTCCCGGGACTGCCGGGAGCTCGGTGTGAGCTGGAGCTGAGTTCGGGATGCAGCCCCGGCAGGAGCCCAGGCCGGAGCAGGGGATGCCTGAGAGAGGCCAAAACCGCTCTGTCCCTACAGCGAACGGGAGAGTTCCCGGCTCGGAGAGGCCCCAGTCCCGGGGAGCTCCAAGGGCCAGGAGAGCTCCAAGGGGCTCGTGTTGATCGCTGTTTATCGGGCCCGAGGGGTGGGGTTAAATCACAGCAATCTTTCAATCTGGCCACGGTTTGGGGCGGCTGCTTGCTTTAAAAGTGCGAGCACAGGGATGTTGTGTAATTCAGGAGTGAAAAAATGTGTAGGGCTGTTCCTAAGCGTGCCCGGTGCTGCTTAGGCAGCAGCGACACCAGTCGGGGGGTTTGCTAAGGCATGCACACATCGCAGGAAAGATATAGAAATAGGAACGAACACGTAAAAAAACCGACACCATAAATCACCGAACCGGCTCGGGGGCTTTTCAGGGTTGTGACGGGACTGCCCCGCTCCCATTGGCTGGTGCTCCCGCCACGCCTCGTTCTCCGCACACTGATATTTCAAAACGGGCACAGGGACGATGTTGTCAAGGCTATTTTATTATTCGGGATCGGCACCGCGCGGATCCCGGAGCGTCTCTGGAGCCCCGGGAGCGGCGGCAGCGGCCGGAGCGCGGTGAGGCGGCGGCGGAGCTCGGAGGCGGCCCCAGCGCAGGTGGGAGAAGCGCTCGGTTGTGCCGGGGCTCGGGGCTCGCTGCGGGTGGAGGGGGCAGCAGGGACAGGGGGGCTCTGGCGGGTTCGTTCTCCCGTGTCCCCCCCGTGTTCCCCCTGCCCTGAGGCCGCTGCGGGAGCGGCTGCCCGCGGTCTCCTTCCCGCTGATGCCTCGGCAGGAGCCGCTGCCGGAGCAGCGCTGGCTCGTCCTGGTTGCTGTCGGTAGCACAGGGGTTGCTGCCGCGTCCCCGGGAGTGTTCCCGGGGCTGCGGGACCGGGCTGGGAGCCCCTGGGGCGGGGGGAGGAGTCCCTGTGAGGGGCTGGGTTGGAACGGGGCGGAATTTGAGCGTCCCTCGCAACACAAAGCACTCGGGTGCTCAAGTGGAGGCGGAATCTCCTCACTCACTCCCCCGGGGATTCGTAGCCAAGTTCTGTCTTACCAACCAGGAACCACGTGCCGTTCTCAGGCGGCGCCACAAAGAAGGCGTTGCCAGAAGAAAAGTCAGAGCGACCCTCATGGGGTCAGTGGTGGCTTCGAAGGGTCTGAGTTCCACGGACACAGTGGGGACTGTCCCCGCCTGAAGTCCAAGAGCTGTAAATGCTGATCCTCCTCCTCCTCTCGGACCCGGCCCATAACAMCTGCCAGGATCCGCAGGCAGTGCTGGATGGCGATGTCTGATCGCTCCGATTCGCTCCGGGACACCCCAAACCCTCCGCTCTGCCCCACATTTCCCTCCAGGGCTTCCCCCGCTGCTGCAATCCCCGCCCGGTGCCGCTGAGACCCCGCTGCTCGCCGGGAGCGTCCCGGCATAAAACATTTCTGAAAAGGGTTTTTAGTGCCCGAGAGGGAGCGATTTTCCGGGGTTCCTGGGCTCAGCGGGTTTTGCGGCTCCTTTAGTGACACGGGGCCGCCGACACCCCTCGGTGCAGCTTTTAGATTATTTATTTTATTTAGTTCTTTATCTTTTATTGCACTCGCACCTCTCCCGTCCCGCGGAGCGGCTCCTTGAGTGCCCTGGTGGGGGCAGCGCTGCGCCTTGCGGCGGCTCATTTTAATACAGTTCATTCTATTTTTCATCTTTTCTTTCGTTCCCACCTCGCCCCTCCCGCCCAGCGGCTCCTTCCGGGACCCGAGGCGGCACAAACCCCTCGGGGCAGCTCCAAAGGACCCCGCCCGCGGCCGCTCCCCGAGGCCTCCCCGCCGCTCCCGGGGATCGGACACCGCAGGCGGTCCCGCACCTTTCTACTTCTTCTCCTTCCTCCTGCCGGGATTCAGCCCCCGCCGCCGCCCCGCTCCCGCTCCCGGTCCTGCACGATCCGGCGGTGCCGCTGACGGGGCCGGAGCGCCTCAGGGCCGGGCCGGGCCGGGCCTTCCTTCCGTGAGGGATTCAACAGCGCTTCCTTCAGAGAC